ATTCACTGAATTAATTGTGATGCACCATGACAAAGCAATCTAAACCAAACTCTTAATTGAAAAAATTATTTTCATAATCGATGAACACTGCTACAAATCAGCACACGAACGCCATGTTGGATTCACAACAACACGACGTTTTTCTTTGGATAAGTGGTTGTCGCTATGGTTATTGTGATCAATTCTGTGATTGTTGGATTTAAATAATAATATAATTAGATGCTTCATCTTTCCGATTACAGGTGTCGGATTACAGCCAACTGTCAGATTGCATTGTCCGATCACAAGTGTAGAGAATGATTCGTGAAAACTGAATCTGCGTATGCACCAATAGCAATTAAGGAATTTGTAATGGTTATGATTAATAATGGTAATAGGACTGAGTAGAGTCCAATTCGCTCTGTAATCATTCGAGTGATTAACAAAATAGGAGGATCGCGAAGCGGGAGCCCAATTTGTCAATCAAGAGTATGATTACAGACAGAATTGGACGAAAAGAAGTTCTCTTACCAATTAATCACAACCGTTTCAATTTCCGAAAACAACAACTACATTTAGGTCGAATATCTCCGGTAGAAACAATGCCCAAAGTAAAAAAATTTCTCCATTTCCCAAATTTTTTTAAAGAATAAATGGCTGTCGCAATGGTTATCGTGTTTAATTCTGTGATTAGTGGATTTGGCTGAGTGGACTTTGTATGATTAACTACTTCAACTGTCCGATTATAGGTGCCGATTACAGCCAACTGTCCGATTACAGCTCTACAGAATGATTAGTGAAAAAATCAGGCAATTTTAAATGACATTGAGTCAAATCACGCGTTCCCCCAGTCGCTGCTTTTAAGGTCATAATTTCATTCATTGAGTAACGGGCTTCAATGAATTTTTTCTAAAATTTCTCTTATTTAATGGGGATAATTTGTTAACCAAAACTATGCAGCAAAAATATAGGTCATCGTGCTCGTTTCAGAGTGAAAGACCATCGCACCTCTTTACCTGGTCCATTGATTGAAAAGCAACACCGCGTTCTCGGAATGCACGCGCGCTTCTTCGCCCGATTACGTTATTTTTAAGCGCAGTATAGGATGCGCAGTGCAATACTAAGGAGTCACCTTAAACGAAATACCGTAATTTCAAACAAAATGAATGTTCAGGGGCATGGTCACAATACTTCCAGGGCAAGTTTTTAAGTGTGTATGAGCTCCAGCTCATCCACAAGTGTAAAGGGTGTGAACAGAATTATACAGGTGTTTTGTTTTGTGGAACCGAGCGAAGGAATTGATCGAGTACAGCTTTTTTCTCAATATCCTGGACTCAATTCCCAGCACCGAACACAAGAGTTACGTGTCATTAACTTACAGAGACAAGCTCTGGTTTTAATTTTTTTCAACCCTTCAGGCCTATCCAGTAGTGTTAAAAATGTTGCAAATATTTTTTCCTCTGTGTGATAACCAACGTGGCAAACCAATATAATTGCTGCTCGGAGGAATCCCACAAACGAGCTTATGCTTTGCAAGGTCACGTGGGGCCACGAAAGTTCAAGGCAGGATTCGCACGTAATCCTGAAATTTTGAAGGTACCTGGCCGTTTTTTTTAATTATTTTTTTTA